AGATCGCAGCCCCCCAGGGATGGCGAGGTCTAATTTGAATCTGCCCGTGGCCCTCACTGTGCTGGGCCCCCCAGCAGGCCTCGAAAATGGCGACAGTTTCACAGATCGCAGCCCCCCAGGGATGGCGAGGTCTAATTTGAATCTGCCCGTGGCCCTCACTGTGCTGGGCCCCCCAGCAGGCCTCGAAAATGGCGACAGTTTCACAGATCGCAGCCCCCCAGGGATGGCGAGGTCTAATTTGAATCTGCCGTGGCCCTCACTGTGCTGGGCCCCCCAGCAGGCCTCGAAAATGGCGACAGTTTCACAGATCGCAGCCCCCCAGGGATGGCGAGGTCTAATTTGAATCTGCCCGTGGCCCTCACTGTGCTGGGCCCCCCAGCAGGCCTCGAAAATGGCGACAGTTTCACAGATCGCAGCCCCCCAGGGATGGCGAGGTCTAATTTGAATCTGCCCGTGGCCCTCGCTGTGCTGGGCCCCCCAGCAGGCCTCGAAAATGGCGACAGTTTCACAGATCGCAGCCCCCCAGGGATGGCGAGGTTTAATTTGAATCTGCCCGTGGCCCTCACTGTGCTGGGCCCCCCAGCAGGCCTCGAAAATGGCGACAGTTTCACAGAGCGCAGCCCCCCCAGGGATGGCGAGGTCTAATTTGAATCTGCCCGTGGCCCTCACTGTGCTGGGCCCCCCAGCAGGCCTCGAAAATGGCGACAGTTTCACAGATCGCAGCCCCCCGCAGGCAAGACAGGAAGAGGCAGGGAGGGAGGAAGGGAGGGAGGAGGGACGCGACCACACTGCTCTATTCAAAACGAATACCCAACCAAGGAGGGTTGGGAATAATTACCCTGGCGACGTACCCAACCCCTGCGCAAACGCGGGGCGCAACTAGTTTAGCACACTTTATAAGGGGGGCGATGACGGAGCGAGGGTGACATATGTCTGCAGACGGAATTCGGGAGACTCGCAGGAAACTGGCTTCAGGACAAGGACTAGATAAAGCTGATTAGTTGCAATCCCTGAGCAACCCTAACCACTGCGAAAGCGGGGGTCTCAGATCGCAGCCCCCCAGGGATGGCGAGGTCCTCACTGTGCTGGGCCCCCCAGCAGGCCTCGAACATGGCGACAGTTTCGCAGATCGCAGCCCCCCCAGGGATGGCGAGGTCTAATTTGGGTCCGCCCGTGGCCCGTGGCCCTCACTGTGCTGGGCCCCCCAGCAGGTCTCGAAAATGGCGACAGTTTCACAGATCGCAGCCCCCCAGGGATGGCGAGGTCTAATTTGGGTCCGCCCGTGGCCCTCACTGTTCTGGCCCCCCCCAGCAGGCCTCGAAAATGGCGACAGTTTCGCAGATCGCAGCCCCCCAGGGATGGCGAGGTCTAATTTGAATCCGCCGTGGCCCTCACTGTGCTGGGCCCCCCAGCAGGCCTCGAAAATGGCGACAGTTTCACAGATCGCAGCCCCCCAGGGATGGCGAGGTCTAATTTGGGTCCGCCCGTGGCCCTCACTGTGCTGGGCCCCCCAGCAGGCCTCGAAAGTGGCGACAGTTTCACAGATCGCAGCCCCCCAGGGATGGCGAGGTCTAATTTGGGTCCGCCCGTGGCCCTCTGTGCTGGGCCCCCCAGCAGGCCTCGAAAGTGGCGACAGTTTCACAGATCGCAGCCCCCCGCAGGCAAGACAGGAAGAGGCAGGAAAGAGGCGGGAGGCGGGAGGAGGAAGGACGCGACCACACTGCTCTATTCAAAACGAATACCCAACCAAGGAGGGTTGGGAATACCAAGAAGAATTACCCTGGCGACGTACCCAACCCCTGCGCAAAAGCGGGGCGCAAATAGTTTAGGATACTTTATAAGGGGGCGATGACGGAGCGAGGGTTACATATGTCTGCAGACGGAATTCGGGAGACTCGCAGGACACTGGCTACAGGAAAAGGGCTTGATAAAGCTGATGATTTACAATTCCTGAGCACTCCTAGCCACTTCGAAAACGGGGATCACAGCAGGCCTCGAAAGTGGCGACAGGTTCACAGATCGCAGCCCCGCAGGGATGGCGAGGTCTCATTTGAATCTGCCCGTGGCCCTCACTGTGCTGGGCCCCCCAGCAGGCCTCGAAAATGGCGGCAGTTTCGCAGATCGCAGCCCCCCAGGGATGGCGAGGTCTAATTTGAATCCGCGCGTGGCCCTCACTGTGCTGGGCCCCCCAGCAGGCCACGAAAATGGCGACAGTTTCACAGATCGCAGCCCCCCAGGAATAACGAGGTCTAATTTGGGTCTGCCCGTGGCGTCACTATGCTAGGCCCGCCAAGCAGGCCTCGAATGTGGCAACAGTTTCACAGATCGCAGCCCCCCCCAGCGATGGCGAGATCTAACTTGAATCTGCCCGTGGCCCTCACTGTGCTGGGCCCCCCAGCAGGCCTCGAAAGCGGCGACAGTTTCACAGATCGCAGCCCCCCAGGAATGGCGAAGTCTAATTTGAATCTGCGCGTGGCCCTCACTGTGCTGGGCCCCCCAGCAGGCCTCGAAAGTGGCGACAGTTTCACAGATCGCAGCCCCCCTAGGGATGTCGAGGTCTAATTTGAATCCGCGCGTGGCCCTCACTGTGCTGGGCCCCCCAGCAGGCCTCGAAAGTGGCGACAGTTTCGCAGATCGCAGCCCCCCAGGGATGGCGATGTCTAATTTGGGTCCGCCCGTGGTCCTCACTGTGCTGAGCCCCCCAGCAGGCCTCGAAAATGGCGACAGTTTCGCAGATCGCAGCCCCCCAGGGACGGCGAGGTCTAATTTGAGTCCGCCCGTGGCCCTCACTGTGCTGGGCCCCCCAGCAGGCCTCGAAAATGGCGACAGTTTCGCAGATCGCGGCCCCCCAGGGATGGCGAGGTCTAATTTGAATCCGCCGTGGCCCTCACTGTGCTGGGCCCCCCAGCAGGCCTCGAAAGTGGCGACAGTTTCACAGATCGCAGCCCCCCAGGGATGGCGAGGTCTAATTTGAATCCGCCGTGGCCCCACTGTGCTGGGCCCCCCAGCAGGCCTCGAAAGTGGCGACAGTTTCGCAGATCGCAGCCCCCCAGGGATGGCGAGGTCTAATTTGGGTCCGCCGTGGCCCTCACTGTGCTGGGCCCCCCAGCAGGCCTCGAAAGTGGCGACAGTTTCACAGATCGCAGCCCCCCGCAGGCAAGACAGGAAGAGGCAGGAAAAGGCGGGAGGCAGGAGAGGAAGGACGCGACCACACTGCTCTATTCAAAACGAATACCCAACCAAGGGTTGGAACAAGAAATTACCCTGGCGACGTACCCAACCCCTGCGCAAACGCGGGGCGCAAATAGTTTAGGACACTTTATAAGGGGGGCGATGACGGAGCAAGGGTTACATATGTCTGCAGACGGAATTCGGGAGACTCGCAGGAAACTGGCTTCAGGACAAGGACTAGATAAAGCTGATTAGTTGCAATCCCTGAGCAACCCTAGCCACTTCGAAAGCGGAGATCTCAGATCGCAGCCCCCCAGGGATGGCGAGGTCTAATTTGGGTCCGCGCGTGGCGTCACTGTGCTGGGCCCCCCAAGCAGGCCTCGAAAGTGGCGACAGTTTCACAGATCGCAGCCCCCCCCAGCGATGGCGAGATCTAACTTGAATCTGCCCGTGGCCCTCACTGTGCTGGGCCCCCCAGCAGGCCTCGAAAGTGGCGACAGTTTCACAGATCGCAGCCCCCCAGGAATGGCGAAGTCTAATTTGAATCCCTGTGGCCCTCACTGTGCTGCCCCCCAGCAGGCCCTCGAAAATGGCGACAGTTTCGCAGATCGCAGCCCCCCAGGGATGGCGAGGTCTAATTTGAATCCGCGCGTGGCCCTCACTGTGCTGGGCCCCCCAGCAGGCCTCGAAAATGGCGACAGTTTCGCAGATCGCAGCCCCCCAGGGATGGCGAGGTCTAATTTGAATCCGCGCGTGGCCCTCACTGTGCTGGGCCCCCCAGCAGGCCTCGAAAATGGCGACAGTTTCACAGATCGCAGCCCCCCAGGGATGGCGAGGTCTAATTTGAATCCGCCCGTGGCCCTCACTGTGCTGGGCCCCCCAGCAGGCCTCGAAAATGGCGACAGTTTCGCAGATCGCAGCCCCCCAGGGATGGCGAGGTCTAATTTGAATCCGCCCGTGGCCCTCACTGTGCTGGGCCCCCCAGCAGGCCTCGAAAATGGCGACAGTTTCACAGATCGCAGCCCCCCAGGGATGGCGAGGTCTAATTTGGGTCCGCCCGTGGCCCTCACTGTGCTGGGCCCCCCAGCAGGCCTCGAAAATGGCGACAGTTTCACAGATCGCAGCCCCCCAGGGATGGCGAGGTCTAATTTGAATCCGCCGTGGCCCTCACTGTGCTGGGCCCCCCAGCAGGCCTCGAAAGTGGCGACAGTTTCACAGATCGCAGCCCCCCAGGGATGGCGAGGTCTAATTTGAATCCGCGCGTGGCCCTCTGTGCTGGGCCCCCCAGCAGGCCTCGAAAGTGGCGACAGTTTCACAGATCGCAGCCCCCCAGGGATGGCGAGGTCTAATTTGAATCCGCCGCGTGGCCCTCTGTGCTGGGCCCCCCAGCAGGCCTCGAAAGTGGCGACAGTTTCACAGATCGCAGCCCCCCGCAGGCAAGACAGAAAGAGGCAGGAAAGAGGCGGGAGGCGGGAGGAGGAAGGACGCGACCACACTGCTCTATTCAAAACGAATACCCAACCAAGGAGGGTTGGGAACAAGAAATAATAATATCAATAATGATAACAATAATCATAATAAGAGGAAGAGGGGGAGGAGGAGGTGAAGGAAGAAGGAAAGGGGGAGGAGGAGGCACAGGACGAGGGGCAGAAGGAGGAGGAGCAGGATGAGGGGCAGAGGAGGGCGACGACGCGAACGCCGAAGCCGAAGCCGACGACGAAGACGACGCCGCCGCCGCCGATGACAACGACGACGCCGCCGCCGCTGACGACGACGACGACGACGAAGACGTCTCCCAGGCCTGCTGTGCAACGCCGCGGTGCGCCGAGGCCGCGGCGCGGGTGCCCCGCCGCGGCGCGCGCCGGGGCGCCCGGAGCGGGGCGCGGCCACGCGCCGGAGGGCCGAGGGCGACGTGGACTTCGCGGCGACGGGGCGGCCGCGCCGTGCCGGCCGCCCGCCGACCCGGTGTGGGGACCACTCGGAGGTGGACAGACCTCCTACCCTGACACGTCAATTGAGGAGTTGGCCGTTTTCGGTTCGCGAGAGGGCGTCGCGGCCGTCATTTTTGCGGGTCCAGGTCCGTCGGTTATCGGTCCCAGGTTGTTTTCACTGAGGGGAGGTTTGCTCAAGGGAGGTTTGTCCACCGCCGAACGACCGAAATGGTTACGGAAATAATGGGCACAGAGACTGACAGCATGTCTTGTTCGTTTCGAGCAGGACTCGCGGAGACGCAGGCCGCCTGCCCAACAGCGGCAGCTGTCGGTCTTGGATGAGCACTGCTGATGGGCATGGTACCCACTTTTCCGTACCGTTTTCGGGCGTCCAGGCCGACGGAGAACACCGAGATCCCAGACCCTCTCGCGTCATGGAAAAAACTCACGACGGGAGGTGTTTTGTTATTTTCGGCTCCGTGGGGGCCTCCTCGGGCCTCAGATCCGTCCTAAAATATCCTGAAACGTTTCAGGATAAAGAACTGGTCTCGGGGAATGTGTCGAGACATCTGGTTATGAAAAAATCATGACGTCGGGGGTCCATGACAGATCGATCCAGCTCGAGAACAGGCTCTAGGGCTCCAGGCGTGGTGTTCCAGCAAAGTCAAATCTCACTGGGAGTTGATCTCGCAGCTTCGGGCCTCGGGTCCTGGGGCCGGCAGGACGCGATCCAGGATGAAGAGCTAGCCAGGATGGCTCCCAGGAGGGGGACTTCCGCCGCAGAAAATATTCACAGACACCCTCCAATGGATTGTTTCTGGGCCTCAGGGGAGGAGTCTGGTGTAAAAACACCACTGAGAGCCATCATTGTTATACACTGACACCTCCCTGAGGGTACATGCAAAGTTCCTCGGAGGGCGTCTGTGGATACATTTTCGTGGCGTAGGTCTGCCTGACGGACATGGGTTCTGCGGTGACTGGCTGGCCATGGCGTTTGGGCTGGGCGCTGCGTCCATGCACATCCTCGAAGATCGATGTTCGAGGCTTGAGGCTCGAGGCCCCGTGCCGTCTCCAAGGCCCCCTTTAGGGCCCCTGGGCCGGGGCGTCAGGGCTCCTCTGGAGACCGCCACGGTCCACAGGCGACGTGGGCTTTTTGCGGCGGCCAGCTGGCTGTGCGTCCCCGCTGCCAGCAGTGCTCCTCCCTCCTTCCTTCTCCTCCTCCTCCCCTTCCTCCTTCTCCGAGCGATTGGGATCGAGGATCGAGGAAAATGGTCGTTGGATGGCGTCGAGCCTTGGGGCAGTTGTGGCTGTGAGCCTCAGGGGACCTCGTGGGTCCTCCGCCTGGGTTTTTGAGAGGCGGACATGAGCGAGGAGCAGGGGAAGGATGAGGAGGAGTAGGAGTAGGAGGAGGAGGAGGAGGAGGCGGAGGAAAAGGAGGAGGGGGGGGGAAGGCAGAGGGAAAAGGGAGGAAGAGGAGGAGGAGGAGGAGGAGGAGGGGGAGGGGGAGGGGGGGAGGGAGTTAGGAGGAGGAGGAGGAGGAGGAGACGGAGTAATTAGGGAAAAATGAAGACGGTACATGGTGAGGACGAGTAAGAGCGGTGATCATGAGGAGGGGTGATTCTAAGGAGTATTTTGATGATGAGGAGGATGAGTATGCTTGTGATGATGGTGATGATGCTGCCGATGATGACGATGATGATGATAGGGAGAATAGGGTTGAGGAGGAGAATGGTGTTGACGATGACGGTGACAGTGGCGGTGATGGTGATGATGGTGATGGCGATGGTGATGGTGATGGTGATGGTGATGGTGGTGCTGATGGTGATGGTGATGGCGATGGTGATTGTGATGGTTGCCGTGATGATGATGATGACGACGTCGACGACGACGATGATGTGAATGATGGTGATGATGATGATGAGGATTATGATGATCATGACGATGGTGATGGTGAGGATGATGATGACGATGATATGCTGATGCTGATGATGATGATGATGCTGATGCTGATGGTATTGCTGATGCTATGATGATGGTAATGATGGTGGTGATGATGCTGATGGTGGTGATGATGATGGTGGTGATGATGATGGTGATGATGATAATGTAACTGGTAATTATGTGAATTATGATGATAATGCTGAAGATGATGGTGATGATGACGGTGATGATGATGCTGGTGATGATGACGATGAGGTGATGATGTTGGTGATGATGATGATGATGCTACTGATGACGGTGATGGTGATGATTACGATGATGTTGATGATGATGACGATGATGATGATGGTGATTATGATGCCGATGATGATGATGATGACGACGATGCTGATGTTGATAACGAATACTATGATGGTGGTGATGATGACGATGATGCTGATGATGATGCTGATGATGA